TCGGAAGAGAGATAGACAGAATGGTTGGGTTTCCAAAACATAAAAAATCTGTTTTATATTTAGAATTTAATTACCTATAGTAGCGCTTTTGAAAGCGCTTTCGTATCTTATACCTATAGCATCACTTTTGCTTACAAAGCGCTTTCGTATCCTAGACCTTTAGCGGCGCTTTTGGAAAGCGTTGTCTAAGGTGTAACTTAGACAGGACTTGTAGCAGCGCTTTTGTAAAGCGCTTTCTAATGTAGGCCTTTAACAGCACTTTTTAGAAAGGGCTTTCTATTGTTTAGCCTAGGTATGACCTTTAGCAGCGATTTTAAAAGGCATACTTTATCAGCGTTTTTTTCCCTTGTTTTTTTTATTTACTTTTAGCAGTGTTTTTAGGAAAAAAGAACGTTGTCTTTGTAATGCTGGCAAAAAGCAATTTTGGCGTCATGAAGAAATTGAAATTCTCATAGTGTCCAAAAAAATTCTCCTATTGGTCACTACAAGAAAAATTGTGTCCAGCCACGTGATTTATGGAAGTGAAAATCACGTGGCAAAATATAGACAGTTGCGACGTGATTTTCACGTCACTAACATGTTTAATATTAAAATAATAAGAAATAAATGTAACACATGGTCTGTCAAATTTAAAAAAAAAAAAAAAAACCTTTGTGACGTGAAAATCAGGTCGTAACATGTAAATTAAAAAAAAATAATTAAAAGGACATATCTACTGAAGCGGGAAGGGGGAAATTTTCAAAAAATTTATTGTGACGTGAATATCACTTCGCAACCATTTAGGAGGGAAAAAAAATCTGACGCATAGGTGATGGTTGACTGTGCTGCAAGTTGACTGACAAAATCAATTTGACCGTTGGAACTTTTGCGACGTGAATATCACGTGGCAAAGTTGCGAAGTGATATTCACGTCGCTACGTGATTAATGTGAATATTTAAAATTTACGGCGTGAATTTCACGTAGAAAAGTTGCAAGGTTAAATTCACGTCGTTGGGTTTTATTTATGACATGTGTGCCCAACTTTTCATACCACACTTATTATTACCATTTTAATTTCTTCTTTCTCTTTCTCGTTGTTTCTTCTTCTTCCACGTTCTATTTTTCATCTTCTTTGTTTCTTTCTTCTTCTTTGTTCTTCTTCTTCTTTATTTCTTTATTTTTCTACTTTTGTTTCTTCATTTTTCTTCTCCAGGTCATTTATATTTTTCTTTAATATGATTATTGTTGAATTCATATTTATTAATTTCGTTTAAAATGTATTTTTATATAAGTTTAATATTTGTTTTTTTTGTCAAATTATCATTGTTATTGAGAAAAAGAAAACAAGAAGGAGTTTGAAGAAGAGGTATTTTTTCTATTTTATTTTTTATTTTAGTTTGATTTATTAATTTTCTGTATTTATTTTCGGAATATGCAAACTTTTTCTGTTTTAATTTTTTTTGAATTTATTTTCTGTTTAAATGTTTAGATATGTTCAGTTTTTAAAAAATTTAAACATTCTGTTTTTAATGTTTAGAAAATATCTAAATAGAATATTCTGTTTTTAAAGTTATTTATATATCAAAACAGAAATATTTATATGTTCAATCTATTTTTTAATGTTTAGAAACAAAGTATTATATTTAAAAATAAAATATTAAAAACAGAATATTAAAAACAGAAATTTATTGTTTTTAATAGTTTATGTATTTTTTGTTATATTTATATTAGAAACAGAATTATATCATGTTATTATGTGTTATTAAAAACAAATCTTTATATATAGTATAAATTTATATATTAAAAACATAATATAAAAGACCAAATATATTATTTTTCATTTTTATTTTTATTTGGTTATATTTACATTAGAATTAATGTTATATTTATATTATTATTATTGTTATTTGTTATTAAAAAAAGAATTTTGTTCTTATGTGTTATTAAAATCAAATTTATATATATAGTATAAATTTATATATTAAAAACTGAATATTAAAAATCAAATATATTATTTTTAATGTTTAATTTTTATTTGGTTATATCTACATTAGAAACAGTATTATATTTATATTATTATTATTATTTGTTATTAAAAAAGATTTTTGTTATTATGTGTTATTAGAAACAAATTTTTATATATAGTATAAATTTATATACTGAAAATAGAATATTAAAAACCAAATATATTATTTTTAATGTTTTATTTTTATTTGGTTATATTTACATTAGAAACAATATTATATTTATATTATTATTATTATTTGTTATTAAAAAAATAATTTTGTTATTAAAAACAAATTTTTATATATAGTATAAATTTATATATTAAAAACTGAATATTAAAAATCAAATATATTTTTTTAATATTTTTTTATTTGGTTATATCTACATTAGAAACAATATTATATTTATATTATTATTATTTATTATTAAAAAAATATTTTTGTTATTATGTGTTATTAGAAACAAATTTTTATATATAGTATAAATTTATATACTAAAAATAGAATATTAAAAATCAAATATATTATTTTGAATGTTTTATTTTTATTTCGTTATATTTACATTAGAAACAATATTATATTATTATTATTATTATTATTATTATTATTATTATTATTATTATTATTATTATTATTATTATTATTATTATTATTATTATTATTATTATTATTATTATTATTATTATTATTATTATTATTATTATTATTTGTTATTAAAAAAATATTTTTGTTAATATATGTTATTAAAAACAAATTTTTATATATAGTATAAATTTATATATTAAAAACTGAATATTAAAAATTAAATATATTATTTTTAATGTTTTATTTTTATTTGGTTATATTTATGTTAAAAACAATATTATATTTATATTATTATTATTTGTTATTAAAAAAATATTTTTGTTATATTTTTGTTTATTATATAATATTTTTGTTATTAAAAACAGATTTTTATATATAGTATAAATTTATATATTAAAAATATATATGTTTAATAGTATATATAGAATAAATCTTTAATAGTATATGTTTAATAATATATAGCATGTGTAATAGTTAACATAAAAATATATATATTTAAGAAGAATATATATTAAATAGTTTAAATTTTTAATAGTTATTGTTTAATAGTAATTTTTGGTTAGTATAAGTTTATGTTGAAGAATAATAATAAGTTAGTTAATACTTGTATTTAATATTTTATAAAAATTCCTAAAATTGATATTAAAATCACATCTGTAATTAAAAAGACAATGATTGTATAAATATACAGTATGGAGTATTATAGGTACTATCGTAGTTGGATGTACGATAGGTTGTATCTAGGAAGACACATAATTAAACCAAATTTTGTGGAGGGAGTTAAAGGGTTTATCACGTGGGCATTTTCTCAGGTGTCGAAGCGAAGGAGGAGTTAGATGTCCTTGTCTTAAATATGGATGCAAACCTATAACTAGTGACCCAGAGGAAGTAGAACGACATTTGAAGAGAAGGGGTTTCATTGAAAATTATTGGGTTTGGACATATAATGAAGAAGAACTGCCGAGTAGCGTACCAGAGACAAGTAATACACATGCTTCAAGTAGTCAATCACCGATGGAACATAGGGAAAACTTTAATCGGATCAATGGGACGGTGGGTGATGCTTTTGGTGTGAATGTGACCTATGACGAACCTGAAGATTTTGATGGGGAAGAGTTGTCGAATGAGGAAGCACAAAAATTCTATCAGTTGTTGAATGAGATGAATACGTCGTTGTTTGAGGGGTCGTCCGACTCAAAGTTATCAATGTGTGTGAGATTATTGGCTGCCAAATCAAATTGGAATGTTCCTGATCAGTGAATTCTTCGCAAAAATGATGCTCGATTCGACTCTTACGAAAGACAACTTGTCTACAAGTTTTTATGATGCAAAGAGGTTGGTGTCGAAGTTGGGTTTAGAAGTAAGAAAGACTGATTGTTGCATTAGTGGTTGCATGCTGTTTTATGACAATGAGTTTGGTACTAATGATGGAGCGTTGGAGGAATGTAAGTTCTGTAAGAGTCCAAGATATAAAGTTTGTAGTAAAGCCATTGACCGTAAGCAAAAACGTGTAGCAGTGAAGTCCATGTTTTACCAAGGTTGAAAAGAATGTTTGCTTCAATGCACAATACAAGTCAAATGACATGGTATCATACAAACAAAATAAGTTCAGGCATTATGCGACATCCATCTGATGGCGAGGCATGGAAGCAATTTGATCGCATACATACTGATTTTGCTGCAGAACCTAGAAATGTGAGGCTTGGATTATGCTCTGATGGTTTTACTCCATATGTCCAAGCGTCTGGAAGTGGGTATTCTTGTTGGCCAGTTGTCGTAACCCCTTACAACCTCCCTCTTGAGATTTGCATGACAAAACCATACATGTTTTTGACCTGCATCATTCCAGGACCATCAAGTCCAAAAGCCGAAATCGATGTGTACTTACAACCTTTAATTGATGATTTGAAGAGGTTGTGGATTGGAGAATAGACTTATGATATATCAAGTAAACAAAACTTTACTATGCGATATGCCTTGATGTGGACTATTAACGACTTTCCAGCATATGGCATGTTGTATGGATGGGGTACGCATGGAAAAATGGGATGTCTGCATTGCATGGAGAACACCAAGGCGTTTACGTTGGAAAAAAGGGGGAAAAGTTCGTGGTTTGACTGTCACTGTAGATTTCTACCAAGAAATCATCACTATAGAAGAAACAAGACTGATTTCAAAAAAGATGAATGAGTAACAGATTTGCCTCCGCCTTGATTGTCACTAGGTGAAGTATGGAACCAAATTTGTGAACTACCAAAATTCACAGACATTGGTAAAGCATGTAGAATTCAAGGATATGGGGTCACACACAATTAGACAAAAAAAGTATATTTTGGGACCTCCTATATTGGAAAGATAATTTGTTGCGCCATAAATCTTAATGTTATGCATATTGAAAAGAATTTTTTAATAATGTATTTAACACGGTGATGGATGTTAACGACAAAATTAAAGATAATGAGAAGGTTAGACTAGACATGGAAATTTGGTGTAATCGAAAAGAGTTGGAGTTGAAGTGTCAACCAAATGGAAAATTGTTAAAACCCAAGGCGAATTACAGTCTAACTTCCCAAGAAGCTAAAGCGGTTTGTCGATGGTTAAAAGAATTGAGAATGCATGATAGTTATGCTTCAAATTTGGTAAGGTGTGCCAACGTTAACACTGGGAAGTTGCATGGTATGAAAAGTCATGATTGCGATGTTTTTTATGGAACGATTGCTTCCAATTGCGTTCGGTTCACTACCCAATCACGTACTTAATCCACTAATTGAAACTAGTCAATTTTTTAGAGATATTTGTGCGTCAGCTTTAAGAGTGGATGACATCGTTAAGTTGGACCGAAATATTCCAGTCATTCTCTGTAAGTTGGAACAAGTATTTTCGCCTGGTTTTTTTACTCTATGGAACATCTACCTGTGCATCTTGCATATGAATCTTTTCTTGGTGGCCCGGTTCAATATAGGTGGATGTATCCTTTTGAAAGGTTCATGGGTGATTCAAAGCGATCGGTGGAAAATAAAGCTAAAGTTGAAGGATCAATATGTGCACATTACTTGCATCGAGAAACATCTCATTTTTGCAGTCACTATTTTAATCACTTAATGTTAACTCCAAGAATCATAAGGAATCCTATAAATGTTAACGAAAGAAGTAAATTTACCTTATCAGTCTTCGGGCTTCCTGGTCGTCCCTTTGGAAAGAAGGGTGTGCATTGGCTGACTCAAAAAGAAATGCAATCAGCACATGTTCATGTCTTAATTAACTGTGTTGAAGTTAAACCATATCTTGAGTAAGTATATCCCAACTGTTTAATATTATTTACCATATGAATACAAAAATTATTACCTTGAAACTTATAGTGTGTTTCTTTATAGGGAATTTAACATCTCCTACTTTCATAGCATCGGTGTACAAGCAACATCCGGCCACACACATGCTCATTTTCCAACATGGTTCAAGGAGAAATTATCATGTATTGTTGCACCGACTCAAGAAATACTCCATCTGAGAAACTTGTCTGAAGGCCCTATTCAAAGCGCAAATGAATGACAAACATACTTCGTGAACGGATATAAATTTCACACTGAGACATGGACTGAAGGGAAAAAAACCATAAATAGTGGTGTATTTGTAAAAGGAGTTACAGATGGTGGTGAGGATGACTTCTATAGATTTGTTAAACATATCTACGAGTTGGTATACAATTCTTTGGACTCAGAAAATAAAGTTGTCTTATTTTATTGTGATTGGTACGATCCATCAGTCAGAGGTACAAAAATAGATAACACATATTGTACTGTTGTGATTCGAATGGACCAAAGGTACACAGAGTATGACCCTTCCATAATGTCAGATATTGTTAGACAAGTTTACTCTGTTCCTTATCCTTCAATTATACCACATAAACGAGGGTGGTCTATTGTAATAAAAAAAACAAAACTATTGGGTCATATTAAAACTGGTGATCTATTGGAAGATGTTGCCTACCAAGTTGATGAAGTTGAACAAATTACAAGTTTGTCTGATACAACTGTTGAGGGCCATCAAGTTGATGTATCTATATTGTTAGATGCCACCTCGAACTGATAAAAATAAGAGTAAGAAGTCCCAACGTCCGAGACTACTAGTATGTCAGGCACCTCAGTCGGCCATGTGTCCTCCTCCGTAAAGTCAGTTAGATTCTATGTCCATGGCCAGTTCTCAGCCTTTCATGACATTGCTCTCCCATCAAGAGTATCCAGCTTTTATTAGCCCATCTGGGGCTCCAGCTTTTATTAGCCCATTGGGGGCTCCAGCTTTTATTAGCCCATCTAGGGGACCAGCATTTATTAGTCCATCTGGGGGCCCTAGTTATCCATATCAGCAGCCTGTGGGACCTAGTTGTCCATATTAGCAGGTACCCTCATCCTTCACACAGTCTGGGGGATCTAGCTTTCCACCTTCCTACCAGCAGGTTCCCACACCCTTCATACAGTCGGGAGGATCTACTTTTCCAACTCCCTTACAGGTACTCTCATCCTTCACACGGTCTGAGGGATCCCACCCCTCACAGACCACACAGGTACCTTTACCATCCACACATATACCTATGCGTGAGGATAATGATGAGGCAGTTGATGACGATCATGAGGTGGATGATGAGGAGGCAGTTAAGGACGATGATGGGGAGGCTCCCAATGATGAGGTGGTTCAAATCATTAATGGAAGATATTTTATTTGGCCCAACGGAAATTCACAAGTTTTAAATTTTTAAGTATACATGTTTCCATTTTTTATATTAACTTATATTTCATATTAATATAAATTATTGATGTTTAGTTTCGAGCCGAGTCGGACTGCTGCCCAGTGTTTAAGTTATGTTATTCAGCAAAAGTATAAAAAAACTTGGAAGAGATTTAGAGAAGTTAAGGGGGACGAAAGAGAAGTTTGGTTTAATTTATTTAAGATATAATTAATTTATTTTTGTTAAGTTATGTAATTTATTTTTTAACTTATTTTTGTTTTAATTTTTTTTTTTATTATAATTGTCTAACTATTTTATTTGGATGTCCTACAACATTGTAAGAAAAGTGTACGCGGGAAAAATTGAATGAGAAAGAGGTTAGAACAAATTATTTTGGCAGAATAGCAGTTCGACTTTCTCACATACTACGGCGTGCTATAAAGCGTTGGGAACTTGAAAATACTCGTCCCAACTGGATAGGCAAAGAAGTTTTCAATGAAGTTCTTATTTATTAGAATTCAAATGTTGAATTTAAGACAAGATCTGAAAAAGCAAAGAAAATGAGAGCATCTAAAAAAGGGGTAGCCTTAATGCAGTTGGAAGTATAAGTGTTGTCGAACATGCTCGACGCATGGTAATTATTACTTCTATTTTAAGTTATATTATGATTTATTATATATTTTTAATTAAAGTTAATTTTATTATTTAGGAAAAGAGATTGGGGAGACCTCCACTCATGACTGAGCTAGTTGTAAAGACTAGAACAAAGAAATCAGGAGGCTTTGTTGACGAACGCATCAAAAAAGTTGTGGTAAGCAAATCGTTTCACTTTATTTAATTTTTTTATATTTTTTTTATTTAATGAAAATTTAGTGAAGTGGTTATCACGTGGCAACTGAGATATTGTGGCGTGAAAATCACGTGGCAAAATTTATTATTTAATTTAACTTAAATTATTTAAGCTATATTCAATTTAATTTTTTTTATTTTATGTGTAGAGGATTGCCAAGTATTGCTCACACAGTTTTTGATAGAGAATCCTCAGTATACTCCAAGAGGTTCTGAGTCGTTTAATCCACGAGTAGATTTTTACATTTGGGGTTTAGTAACTGGCGGAAAGGGACCGAATGGATGTTTATTTGGTGCTGGAGTTTTGGTCGGTGGTATGAGAAAAGGGGGACAAAACTCTATTTCAAAGAGTTATAGATGGTGAGGGAACGTCATATCCACCACAATTGACCCCCGAGATGCTAGAAACGGTAAGACAACTGGCGTAACTAAAGTGAGACGCAAAACGGCGGCCCAAATGGAGAAACAACAACGTCAGATAGAGGTAATGAATAAGATGCAAGCTGAAATGGAGGCGATGATGCACCAATTTATGCAATCACAAGGTGGTGGTAATTCAGTTGTTGGAAATGAAGAAGTGGGTGGTCAACAACAGTTGGATGACGAGGATAACGATGATTTTGACATTGACAGTTTTCCGATCCAGATTGATCCGAATCATTTATTGTAATTTTAAAATTTTATTTTTGTAAAATATTAATTACATTTTAGTATATTATACACTTTTTATTTAAAAAATGTATTCTTAATTTTGGTATTTATTAATTTTTGTTATTTATATTTATTCATTTTTCAATTTAAATTATTATTGAAAATAATTTAAAAATAATTTGTATTTATTAAATTGAGTGGACAAACTATAATTATAATTTTAAATTTAAATAAAAATATAAATCATTTTTAAACGTATCAAAAAATTAATCAATTTAAAAAATTAAAAAAAAACACTTAGTCACGTGATTTTCACTTCACAACTTGCCACGTGGCAAGCCACATGGCAATTTGTGAATATCACGTCACAAGTTGCCACGTGAAAATCATGTCATAACTTTCTTTCACACGTCTGCCACTTTGTCTGCTATGCCTGCTGTGAGCCTGCTATGACTGAAACTATGTTTTATTTGTTGCGACGTGAAAATCACGTGGCAAAGTTGTGATGTGATTTTCACGTGGCAACATAGTTGTCACACGTCCTTCTGCCACGTGAATAGGTACGTCGCTAATACTAGTTTGTGAAGTGATTTTTCAAGTTGTGAAGTAAATTTCACGTGATAAGATTCAGTTTTTTTTTATAGCGAGTCCACAAGCAACCAAGGGGATATGTTATAATTTTCCAGCTAGTCAAATTCCAACCAAGAAAATAGATTATAATTTTTCTATCGGTCAAATTCCAACCAACATAATAGGTTTAATTTCTTAATCGATCAAGTTTCAACCTATAGGGAATAGCTAATTGATCAAATTTTAAAAAATGTGACCACATTTTATTTTTGCCTTGATAAAATATTTTATCAATCTAAAATTTTATTAAAAATCTATTTTATGGTAATATTATGTACAACTCACTTAACAACTATAGAGTAGTTTTAATTTTAACAAGCCTGTTTCTTTTTATCTTTTAATAAGTTAGTGTAATTTTATATTTAACTATTCAAATAATATAGATTTATATATTATTTCAAATAATTTATTTTAAAAAAATAATAATAAAAATAGTAAAGTCAAATTAATTTTTATTACTTAATGGATAAATTGATCTCTATAATAACTATATAAAAATAGATGATAAATTTCTGACAAAATAAACAAATGTTTATGTTAAAGAAGATATTGACTTTTAAAGATATGATATTTAGCCTCTACATAAAATTTCTACTACTTAAGCAGCCATTGACTATAAGCTAGATATCTCTATCCATACTTCACTTCTACTTTTAATTTATGACTCCAACCAGAGAAGTTGAATTAAGCATAGCTTTTAAGTGTTTGTTTAAGTGTCATAAATAAAACTGGGCAGATCATTATTAAAAGATATCATAAAAAAATGAACGGGGCCTGGTATGATATAGACAAAGAACTGACCATGTATTAAAGAAGAAAATGATTGATTCATTCCAAGAAAAGATTAGTTCAATATGATGATTCATACCAAGAAAATAATCACACATCAGAATTCTCAAAGATGGCGTTTTGATACCATGTTAAAATTCAACAAATGCAATGTAGTTCACTCATGTCTGATAGAGTACGTTCAAATTATTAGATTCGTCTCAATTTAATTGCTTCGTGTTAGTCCAAACATTAACTCATGCAAAACAAAAGAAAATAGGACTCTTCTAATATGGATATGATATCGGGTCGAGACAAGTTTGGGTTGATATTTGGGTTAACCGACATGTTATACTATTATGCATGCATGTAGTATCATTAAATTTGAGTGTTGCTCTTTAAATTTCATGGGGTGCTGCTTCACCATTCGAGAAATTTTAAAAATGTCTTCAGCGTTCGAAGATGCATGTTCGAATGCACCTAAGTTTGGGTTGATCTTTGGGTTAACCAACCCGTTATACTATTATGAATGCGTGTAGTATCATTAAATTTGAGAGTAGCCTTTTAATCTCATGGGGGTGCTTCTTCACCACCGTGAAAATTCAAAAATTCCCTTAACGTTCAAAGATTCATATTTGAACGCATCCAAGTTTTGGTTGATTTTTGGGTTAACCGATCCGTTATACTATTAGGCATGCATGTAGTATCATTAAATTTAAGGGTTGCTCTTTAAACCCCATAGAGTGCTTCTTCACCATTGTGAAAATTTAAAAAATCTTCTAGTGTTCGAAGATGCATAACCAGACGCACCCTCTCCAACTCAAATTTTTGAGACACTTTTATTTTATTAAAATTCAGTTTCGAGATGCATCTTTGTATCAACATTAGGATGAGTCTGGATATGCATCTCTGTAACCATCCTTAATGCAATATACAATGAGTTTTTCAGAGATGCATATCTGAAATATGTCCTGTTAGGCCAAACCAGAAACATCCAGAAATAATGGAAGAATAATGGAAAAATAACATAAATTAAGATCAAAATAAGCATTACATAGATAATCATTACAAACGGGTGGTTCAGGACATTGCAACATCTTTAGAATATCTTCAGTCGATCTTGCGATCGTCGCATCCACTTCAATCGAACCCTTTGTTGAGTAATAGAAAAATGTACTCCACATAACCTTTAAATCCTCATTCGTCTTCAATTTAAGCATGGTGAATTGTATCTTTCCTTCATTGTTAAACGAGAGTGAACAATACTCAAGCTTGACATTTCTCCAATTTTCTGGATATTGCACGAGAGTATTCAGTTTGGATTTCAGATCCACGAAAAGTATATCCCGCGAGACCCTAAATTTAAGTGGGGGGCTTGCGTCATTGAAATACACAAATGCAAGATGTAGGTATGTATTCATTATGATTTGTGTAAAGAAAATAGAATTAGACACCCTATTTATATAAGTTTTAGATCAATTTGAACCTTAGAAACCATATGCTTCATCATGACATATTTGAAATATGCATATCCGGACACAACATATTTTTTTACAAAATAAGGGTGTTTACTGAGATGCACATCCGTAAAATCCAGTGGTCTGTTTTTTTTTACAATTAAAATGAGGTATGTCTGAAGATGCATATTCAGACTCACCCAGCAATTCATACAGAACAAGTATATTATGCAGAATCAATATATTTTTTGCAACAAAAAAAATTGTCCAAACATTCCCCCTAAATTCTATAACATTAAGGTAGAATACACACTACATATGTCTTATATTGTATCGAGATTACATTATTGACAATATTACATATAAAAAAACGAGTTACATTGTTAGATAAAAACTAAAATGTATCAAAATATGTGTCACTACCTAAATTTATTGGTGCAACCTTCTTTGACATTTCTTTATTTGATTATTTTTCTATGTCGCTCAAATTGGTGAACTCTTCCATCCTTTCTAGAAAGTGATCTGACTAAGTTTCAGCGTCTTTTGTAAAATGTATCATTCACTTTGGTGATGTCTTTGGTATAGGACCTCTCGATTTCAAATAAACTTGACCACAATGTTGTGTTATTGAAAGCCATCCAATGCACATGATGCGTCCGAATGAATTTTGAATTGGCCTACTCTGAAATGGAAACAATGTTTCCAAGAAGTCGTCTCTTGTCAAATCAATACACACTATATCATAAGCACTTGCTATAAGATGTCTCATTTTAGGGAAGCGAGTCCATTTTTCAAATGGTATCCGACCACTAACAGAAAGAAACAAGAACATTGAAAATTGCATCGTAATCTTCCTTTTTCATGTATAGTGATATGTATGATTCCCTACGCGTTGTTAACTATTGTACAAGCTGATGGCAGACAAATTGGTGGTCCCCCTCTTCTTTACCGAGCAAACTCGAAACAGTTCAAAACCATAATTGATGTCACCATTAAAATTTACAATCCATTCGATGTATTTGTGCATAAAAAGAGACATCTTTTCAATGAAGATGTTTTTTGGTAACGGTGGTGGAGAAGATGGTCTCCGAATTCGAGCACCCTTGAAAATACTTTTTTGAGATTTTGGAGTTGGAGAATCTAAAAAATGTGAGTTAACATGTTCAAAGTAGGAAGGAGATTATCTCAGTTGTCACTATATGTCGATTTGACCTTTTTAGGGGTACCCTTTATTTTAACCGATTTTGATGGTGGTCTCAAATCTGTTATTTTCTTATAGACAATCTTTCAACAGTTACTATTTGATGTGGAATTTCATGATGTCATCAACTTTCAAAAATCTCTCTTGGATTACTTCTCATTCGGTCATAATAGTTATACTTGATTTATCATCCTTCATCACACTATCATCATCAAAACATAACATTTTCTAGTGAGTGTAAACTTCATCCGCATGTATCAGTTTATCAAACTTCATTTTCTTTGAAATTACATAAGCACGTGGAAGACTGTACGCCTTCCTAATTGTACAACCACACTTTGAGCTATTTGAACCCGTTTTATCTTCCCGCTTGACTTTGCAAAAAGTAAAGTTCAATCCCACCCGAGATATGTTGTCAATCAACTGTGAATAAAGGATGTTGTCTTTGAACTAATGATCTAACACAATAATGCTCCTATAAAAAAATTTGTATCTCATTATGTTAGTTCCGAAGCATTTGGTTCACGAAGTAACACCCTAGAATTTGATTAATTTAATTAATATTCATATCTTATTTAATTCTTTGGTGTTTGATGTACTTTTAAATAAATATGCAAGTTGGGATGTGGGGCATATATGGGGTGTAGTGAGAGCCTTGGTAAGGTGGAGGAAGGAAAAGAAGAATTAGAATAATTAAAATAATTAGAATTATAGTTATTTTGATTTAATTAATTAAATAAAATAAGAAATAATGAGAATTAGAGGAGTTAAGGATGTTTTGGCATAATGAGGAGATAAAGGGAGAAAGGAGAGAGAAAATATAATATAAGGGGAGGAAAATTTAATTATTATAAAGTTAGAATAATTAGGTTTAGAATAAAAAGGATTGGAGAAACCTAAAGTTGTCAGCACGCGAAAATATATTTTTGAGAGAAAAGAGGCGAGGTAAGACTAGGGCTTGAAGAGGGAGGAGAAACCTTAATTCAAATTTGAATTTTGCAAACAATCTAAGATAAGGGGGGAAAGGGCTTTCTATATGAGTGTATTATATGATAGGGTAGAGAAGAGAGGTCATTGCTCTCATTAGGGTTGTATAATTAAGTTTGTGTGTTGTTGTTGTGTTAAAATCTGAGAAATTGATGATTGTATATGCTTGATTATGTGATTGTGTGTCTGAAAACATGTGTGAATCATTCTATTTATGAAAATATGAATTTCATCCATTGATGAATATTTGAAGCTTTGAACATGAGTATGAATGCTAATGAAGGTGATGATTGAATTATATGTCAAATTGCCATGAATTTTGAATGATATTTACACTATAACATGTTTGATTATGATAATATTGTATTGTACTCTTAACTTCATGTTATGGGGTAATTGAATGGGGGAATAATGGTTGGGATGATGTATGAAGGTTAAGGGATGAAGGGGGTGAAGATCATGTGCTAAAACAAGGAATTTCTAGAAAAATAACTAGTGTCAATCGATTGACACTCCCTGTCAATCGATTTCACGCGTGCAACTTTTGGAAAATAAACATGACAATGGAATTAAACGATTGCACTATTTCTAAATGTGATTTTTAGGGTGCACAAAATTCTAATGTATTTGATGTCAATCGATTGACGTATGTCAAATTTTGAGAAATTATATTTTGAACTATGTTACATCAACGTAGATTTTGGCCATAACTTTAGTTCCTTTGTTGTATATTGTGATACTTCGAAGATGGTTCTAGGTGTTATGTGATGCAAAATGGCCATGTTATGGCTTATGCTTCTAGACAGTTGAAAGTTCATGAGAGGAGTTATCCTACGCGTGATTTAAAGTTGGCACCCATGGTATTCGTGTTAAACATTTGGAGGCATTATCTGTTTGGTTCCAGATTTTAAGTGTTCAGTGACCATAAGAGTTTGAAGTACTTGTTCGATCAGAAAAAGTTGAATATGAGGCAAAGGAGATGGATCAAATTTCCGACTGGTAATGCCAATGTTGTAGGCGATGCATTGAGTAGGAAGTTATTACATATGTTGATGTTAATGGTTCAAGAGTTGGGATTAATCGAGCAATTAAGAGAAATGAGTTTGGTGTACGAAGAAACTCCTAACAATGTGAAGTTAGGTATGTTTAAGTTGACTAGTGTTATGGGGTAATTAAATAAGGGGGTAATGGTTGGGATGATGTATGAAGGATAATGGATGAAGGGGATGAAGATCATGTGCTAAAACAAGGAATTTCTGAAAAAACAACTAATGTCAATCGATTGCACTTGTGCAAATTAAAAAAAAAAAACATGACAATCGATTGTCATTTAGAAATAATCGATTGCACTACTTCTAAATGTGATTTTAGGTGGAAATAAAATGGAAATGTATTGGATATCAATTGATTTGCATCCCATGTCAATCGATTGACATAGCGAAATTTTTGAGAAATTCTATTTTGAACGATGTTGTATCGCTCGATGATTTTGGCCATAGCTTTAGTTTCTTAGGTCCAAATGAGGTATCATTTGAAGCGTTAGAGAGATAACACACAAAGCTTCCTCATGGTAGATGATTGATGTGTGGACATATGTTCACTATTGGAATGTATGTTATGGAATGCATGGATAATTTCGTGAATCGTTGTGTTTACTTAATGATGAATTGATGTTAAAATGATTCAACATGTTTGAATGATGTGTGAATATACATTTGATGTGGTATTGCTGTTTGGTTATAATTTTGGTGATATTTCATGTTATTTAAAGTCATGCATCATGGTGTACGGACTTCAAACCTGTTTTAGTGTGCTCTGAGATGGTGTGGATTCAGGAGCGAGTAGCTAGTTCAATAAGGGAATCAGTGAAGTGTTACTTATGGTGATAGTAGCGAATTGGTATGCTCTGGTTCTATGGTGTGGATTCAGGAGCATTACATGTGTTGTCCATAATGGTACCACATTCATAAGTGTCACGTTGTTTCCTGAGTCACATTTCATGTATATATACGCATGTTGTTATGAGTGGGTGTGAGATTTTGGTCATGTTGATCGTGTATTGAACGTGTGGTATGTCGTGTGTTTCTCTAACTTCGCATTCTTTACTTTGTTCATATTGAACTTTTTTTCTCACCCCTTTTCTTCATGTTGTCCACCATGGACATCTTGCAGATAACCAAAAGTGAGCATTATTGTGGTGTGTGGAAGGTGGCTTGTTGGACCTACTCTTCACTTTTCTTTATTTATCGCTTTATCGCTATTTAGTGGTTTAAGTGCTCTGATTGTGTAACATCGAGGACGAGAGTTTTTTATGCCTTATGTTGATGTTGATTTTGTTATTTTGAAGTTTATTACTTTAATTATGAAGTTGCTATGAAATATTTTATCGCTACCTGTGTCAAATGAATTGATGCGTTTTGCAAGTTTGTTGTTGGTGACACCTTAAATTATCGTGTAAATCTTTTTAAATAAGTTTTTAGGCTTAGGGTATTACACACTGCATACCAATCTCAACAAAAAAAACCTTTACTGTTTCTCAACCAATTCTTCAATGTAGCATGTACATATTCAACTTTGTTAGTTGTTTTATTACCGAAGTGTCTAATGTGATCGGTCAAGGAGAAATCAACATTCTCCTTCACCTAGTTCAAAATAGTACTCTCAACATATTTTAAAAATCTGGATATCTAACACACTCTCCTGAAATGTATTACAAATTCAACATTTTACTCTTTCGCGGAAGATTTTATTATTCCAGTCCATCCATCCATTATAT